CGGAAGAATCTCTTTTCTGATGGTCATGATCATATAATATCTAAGCTACATAGGGAAGTTTCTGCACACTACCCCCCTAGGACTGGCATACAAAGTCGAAGGCGTCATCTCGTAGAAACTTTGCTTCTTATTCTTAGGGATTAATTGTTAAACATTCATGTTGAATAAAATTCCCATTACATTTTCTTGCGCTCGGATTTTAAATACCTTTTTGAGTGGAAGAAACGTAACGATAGTTTCGAGAACATGAAATGTAAATTGGTTCGAGCAACCAAATTTCTCTATTCTGGGGAGGCCTAAGATGCTGTGGTTTACGATTATAGATCAAATTCGGTCTGGTCGGTTTTGTTTTTCATCAAAAAATTACAGAGAGTGGTTTTGCTTGGAGTAATGGGGTAATTCTTAAACAGATAGCCCGCAAGGTGCTTTACAAGTGGACGTACGTATTATGAGTTATGACGTTAAATATATCCTGAAACCAAAAAAAACCCGAATATCAGCAAGTTGACTAAGAGATTTTGCAAAGAGGAGGATCTAAAAAAGCAGAAAAGAAATGGTAGCCTGGTTTAAAAAAGGGGAGAGGCGTGAGTAGGAATTATCATCCCCCTCCCCAACCTCGCCACTTAAATGCCCGAAGGTAAATTTTGCACTTTTTCTCGGGAAGATGTTCACACAAGCGACTCTTGATGTAATGTTTGCAGATAATGAAATGTTGATGGCGTTTTCTGTTCTCTGTTTGTCTGCGTATATCTACTAATTTAGAGATGAAGTCTGTTCTTGCAGTTCTGAATGATGCATTAACATTTCCTAGCACGACAAGGACGACGGACTGATTTGATCTTTTATTGTAGCTTCAACGTGAACGGGAACATGCCCTCTCAACTCACCTCACACTATTCATCTGTTACTAAATTGCCTTTGTGTACTGTAGTCCTTTTGCAGGTAGTTAAAATGTCCCATAAGATTTGGTAAGTAACTGTCCCCGCGTGCAAAATTGACCGAGATCTCGGCGAGATTTCCAATGTCCGCCGAGAAAATTTTGTACGTGCCGAGATCATTCAAATCCCAATTTGAGGAAGACTTTTTTCCAGACCTCTGGGTCCTCTCCTACCCGTAGGGACGAGTAGGAGACAACCCTGGGGACGAGGTTGGGTTCCCTATATATTTCCTATGTTGCTGATGAGGAAAATCTGTTTAACAATCAATATCTTGTTTACATGGAGATCATTCTCTTTATTCTCATCACCATTATGCTTGCTTAAGCAGTGATTCCGTACGGAGAAATTGTATGCTGATCACCGAATCTCAAGGGTTTAACGGTTAATCACAGCATTCATATCCCGTGGCTCTGGGGGATTACTCTTGTGCTTAATTTTCGTACCGAGTAAAAGCCGAATATGACCTCTGTTTTAAAGGAAAAGAGAGGAAGAGAGAAAATTTTAATTGTACGGATGCAAGGTCGGATCTTTATTACCACGGGTAAAAACCAACTGTTTTTCAGGCTACCTTATATGTTGTAAAAAAATTCCTTTAATCTTCACAGATTTGGTTTTAGGTCAACCTTTTCTTCCTACCATACAAGCCATGACGTCTCTCTTCACATGCTCTCTTAGAGGGAATAACAATTTTGGAACGAACCCGGCCACAGAGGTAAGAGGCTGTAAGCGCTGAACAGGGAACCCAATTTCCCTTACCTTACTGCGACTTGTGAAAAGCTCTGGCAGTATAAAAACAAATGAAAGACACTTCTGGTGATTTGTCAAGAAAGAAATCGATCCAAATATCAACATTTTGAATTCTTATAAATTCTTTCGGCGCGCAATGAACGTCTTTTACAATCAGTATTAGAACACACGAATCTGTTTTATTTGGATTGCGTGTGTTTGACTTGCTTTATGACAAGAGAATTGAAGAAGTGACGCTCACAGACAGACAGTATAGAGTCACGGAAAAAGCTAGGCGTTTCCTATCCTTTTTTTAATACTGAAACAAAAGCATTTGCACGGGAAAAGTAAAACGTTAAGTAAGAGACGAACTGTATTATTTATACGCGGTGCGTCTTAGAAAAGACGTAAAGACATTTTCTGTGCCATTAATACGAGAAGTTTGCGAGTTATCTAAGAAGTGTCTCCTTTAAATGACCCTACAGTTCCCAAGTTGTGGAAACAGTTTAAATTGCTTTCTAAAAGTATTATGTCATACGACGCGCAAGAGTGATTGTAGAAAAGGGATGGACATAGAAATTCTTAAGGAAAGCAGTAATGATATAATTTTATCATTTTTTTGCTTCAACAGCTGGTAGGAGAGAAGAACAATCTTAAGCAAGCAAGAACTGAATTGTCACTTTGATGGAGGGGCTGGATATCAAATCATTTATTCTTGACCTTGGAAGATCTGACGACCACTGGAATATAACTTACGAATAGAGATATTAGGCAAAGAGGAACTTTAACATAGAAGCTCACTTACTATATTTTCTTGAGTGTATTGTGTTTGGCCTTTTTAAAGGAACAGTTGTTTCTTCTCTTTAGAAGGAAATTTCAAGAATTTCATTTTTAGGTTTAAATTCCAGTCTTCAACTTTTGATGCAAATTTGAACTGAATTCGATCATGATCACCGGTGATAACTACATAGATTAAATCTTGTCTCCCTGTTTTGACGTTACATGATCGATTGAACTTTTTTTGATCCGTAAACTTGGCAGAGAATTAGTGCCTACACGCGGTGAATTGCGAATTGAATTAGAAACGAACATTTACCAGTTATAAAAAGGAATTTGGAACCTCTGAATCCTAATCAAATGCTTAACCGCTTACTCGCTGATCATAGCTTAACATTTAACCTAACCAGTAATAGCCTTCTAACGACTAAGCAGTTTCAGAGATTCCAGGTGACTTTTTGCAAACCATCATTTCTAAGAAAGCTGTAGTGACAATAATAGTTGTGAAATAAAATCTTTGTTCTTCATAAAATAAATATTAATCCAAAGAAACGAGAATGGTCAGGGATGTTTGCTAGTCTACAGAAAATGAGAAAACAGTCAGTTGGCCCCTGTTTGCCTCTGTTCTTCACCTCCTCTTTTGGATAAAATTGCATTTGACAATGATATTTTTAGACTGCAGAAAGACAGAAAAGTCAATCGCTTCGGCAACAAAGCGCAAAGCGCTGGCGTGAAAATGTTGATGGTGGTAGTAGGGAGGGGGGGCTTCGCGCAAACCCCTCGTCAAAGTCTTGATCTCCATTTTTCCATTTGTTCCCGACCTAATGTTTGACAAGTCCTTGCGTTGCCGACCATCAAAAGAACACAGCTGTTTTGCAGTCTATTACCACTAAGTTTGGCGTGGTAGTAATACTGTTTTTCTTATTACTGTTAGAGCTGATACTCTCATAATGAACTATGTATGGGTTAAGAGTAACACTTCATGTGAACTTTGTTTTTGTAACATGTAATAAAGATCGTGTGGACATGCACAGCCGAACAAATATGAAATAGTCTCTACGAGTACGTTTAGATCAAATGAGAGGACGAATAAATTATTAACAAATCTCTCGTGGCCATTATGCGCTCGTACGTTTTAATAAAAGTTATTGACTTATTGCTTGATGGATTTATTGATTGTGATCAGTATCTGATCGACTGAAGGAAGGAAAGGGACTCTTTTTCTTGAAACATTTAAGCCTTAAGGTGGATTTCCACTGCTGTATTATTGTTACGCGCGTAAATAAAGTAGAGGCAATATATGAAAGGTGGCGAGTAAATGTAAAAGTTGAGCGACATTAAACTTTTACGCTTACGCGTGACCTTCCGTGTACTACCTCCGCTACGACAAAAAATAGAGTTTGGCGTTTGCAACAACAACTTTTCGCACCTGCAATAGCCAAATTTGTTTAAGACAGTTTGACTCGTGGTTGGTAAAACGCGCAACGTCGCTATTCAACTCATTTCGCAGCATATTATGTCGTAAAACAAGTTGCATGGGTATGTTCCCCTTTTTACTGTAACTTTACGCCGGGGCGGGAAGGAGTAAGTTGCGTGCATCTATACGTGTACATTCATTTATTGACATGTACACCTCAAGTTACTTTCCATTCATTATTTACAGTATCACAGGTTGCAAGTCTAATTAAGTTCCAACTGAATATTTAAAACTTCTCATGTTCTCGGGCATTCATTCGGATATTTCAACTAGAAATTCATTTTTCATCGAGGATGGATTTTCACTGTCGGTGGCGCTTCTTTTCAACAACAATAAAATGTAGCCGTGCGAGCTGGTAATAAACAACATATTGCTCTTTGAAGTTTTTCGAAATGTTGATACTAAAAAACCGCATCCTTTGTCCTCTTCGGTCTAGAAAATTATTAAAAGAGAAAAAAAACATGAATGATAAATTCGTTTCCTTTTCTCTTTTATAAGTGCATTTCTAAAAGGAACACTGAGGCTCATGGAAGAAGCTAAAGAATATAATAAAATACACCTTAGATTAAAATTTAGTTGCGCAAATCTTATTCCACCTGTTTCGACAACAGCACTGTAAACGAGAAATTAGCATAAGGAATGCCACAGTAAATGTTTGCCTGAAATATCACTATAAATATGCTGATATGTATTTTTTCCCAAGTCCGTATGCTTGTATTTAAGAACATTTTGAAAGGAACGTTTTGCACATCAAATCTTGTGAGAATTCAGAATGTTCCCTGAGTGCCGGTTCAGCCTGCCAGCTAGGTGCAGTATACTCCCTTCTAAACATGACGGGGGATACTCGACGGATAATTTCAAAAACACGACTAAAGTGTAACAAGAATATCGCTCTTTGGGGTGTGTTTTAAACTCGTTTCATTCTCTGAGAGGCACCACAAAAAGTTTGTGCAAGCTGTAAAAGCAATGCGACCGCTCAAGGTTCCTTAATGTTAAATCAAAGCACATAAGCAGTAGTTCACTCCCTAAGCAAAAGATGTAGCAAGTTCCTCCTCCATTGGGGTGTACCCCCCGGCGAAGATTTAGTCGAAGTACTGAAAAATTCTTTTAAAACCTTGACGATATTTGCTACAGAAAATGAAACAAATTATAGGGTTTATAGCACAATTTGAAAAAGCCATGAAAAGAGCGATGTGCAAGATCAGTACCATAGAGCAGTTATTGTCATAACCCGATGCAAAGTATAATAAAGAGTCGACTATACTGTAGGGTACCCAGCATAGTACGAAAGTCAACACAGTAGCCACAGCCATCTTGGAGACGTCTCTGTTTCTTTTCGCGCGCACGGAATGAGCATTAGTGCTGATCGATTGGTCGCCGGGTATCTTTTCTGACCAGAGCTTAATTAAGAGGATGGAGTAGACTATTATGAGCAAGACAAGCGGGGTGTAAATAAATGTGATATATACCACAAGAAAGTAGTTATCTTCAGACGAAGAATCGCCAAATACTTCAACCCACCGCCATCGGCACGCCTGTTGCCCTCGCGGGTATTCAACCACTTTGACGGAGAACAGAAACGGGGCTTTTACTGCGATCGCCACGATCCACGTGATGAAAATAACGAAGGGACACAGCTTGGAACTGATTAGTGGAGAACGGAGCGGAAACAGCACAGCTCCAAGGCGATCCACTGCTATCAAAACCAGACTCTGTATTGACACTAGCATGGAGGCATTCGTTAAGAAAGGGATCACTTTGCACAATGTCTTGCCGAGAGGACCGCTGTTAAGCCAGGAACCGGCGGTGTACAGCCATGTTATTTCCCGGGGAACAAGGAGTAATGGAAACATCAGGTCGGATATGGCCATGTTTGCGATGAAATAATTGATCGGTGTTCTCATGCTTTGCGTCTTGTAGACAATCAAGGCGATGGAAGTATTCCCGACTAACGAGACAACGAAGATCAGAAAAAAAGCAAAGGATTCTCCAATTTTTTGAGCTGTTGGGTTTAACAGACTGGAGCAGTTCCATAGATTCACTGTTGTGTTCATTTTTGTTGGCCACAAAGTAACAGGTGCTTTCTCCTTACAAACACATCTGGTATCTAAAGAATCCTGCCTCTGCTATCATGGCTATACGTACCACACCCATGAATGCTTGCCATAACAAGACAAGCTGGTTATTAAATAACTTTAACATATGCCAATCCATGATATGAGGGAAGCCTGGTTATAAGCACTTTTTTTTTGTTTAATATCTAGCCAAGATTCCATTCAATCGAAAAATGACTCAATTAGTTTGGAGTCCTTCCTTCAATAATTATTTAGAAGTTGTGGATGATTTTTCGAATGTTTTTCATTTGTAAAAATTTGGTGAGGGAAAATTTAAAATTTTGGATGATTGGAAAATATTTGATCAGGGGATGGTTACAAAGTAAAATATGAAGCGAATAAATGAGTAGACAAATGCCAGATTGTACCACCAGTACAAGGCGCCTCTGAGCTCACAGTTAGAGAACTAACTGGTTTATGTGAATACCTTTTCTACTCTTATTTATTTCCTTCCCAAATCAACATAATTTCCCCAAAAAACGACCAGACACCTCCCCCTTAAGGGTTTCTTTGAGGTAGCCAGTTCGGATTTGAAATACAGTCGACTGTCTCTTAACGGACACCTCTATAAGACGGACACCTCTTTAAAACGGACACCTAGAGTTGGTCCCTGCCTTTCTTTACCCCCTTTATTTGACTCTCTATAAGACGGACACCTCTCTAGGACGGACACTTAGTGCCGGTCCCAAAGGTGTCCGTCTTAGAGAGAGTTAACTGTACGTGTTTAGCTGCTAAGCGGGCAGTGGAACTGAGAAAGTGTTAAAAGCCGCGCGCTCGGCCGCCAATAAGCTCACAGTATTTGCTTAAATTAATAGCCCACGTTTGATATATTAAAATTGTAACGTGAATGCGGCTTTCTGGTCATTTTTCTATATATTTGGTTTGGTTTTCTTTGTGCTCAAGTCTCTTTTAGGAATTGCGAGACAATGGAGTCTTGAAAAAATTGCAATTTTAACCCTAAAGCCTCGGATTCATGTTAGAAGTTTAATATATCCAACGTGGGCTATTTCCCCGCCAGCTGTGCCTTTCGCGGGCAGTGTTACAGCCTACGCGCCAAGACTGTAAATGACTGTAAATCCCTTAAAATTTGGTCACAACTTCACGATTGTCCGTGCTATAGAACAGTATCTGAAAACCTCACAACCTTTACTTAATTCGTTTTATGAAAGAAGAACCGTGCTTCATGGCTGAGTTTTGGAATCTTTTAACGACATTTCTTATATTGCTTTGCGGTCTCGTCGCAACGTCAACCGAAATAGCTGTATAATCACTCGAACCTTCTTAAGACCCTAATGTAAACAGAGTGTAATGTGGCAAGAGGTTCACATGGTCAGGTAGTTTGGGTCATAAAAAGCTCAGTTTCTTGCACGATCTAGTCGGCTAGCAAACAAATCATTTTAACGGTGCTTGTATGGAAATCTGATGTTACTAACCTTAGCAAAACGTTTATATATAAATTCATCATTAAACATTACAGTTTAATTATATCGCACATGTTTCCAAGCACATGCTATCGTTGATCACCAAGATCATTATCGCGTACATGTATATATTTAAACTGCAGGCATCACTGTCACTCGCGGTTCTCTACCCATTCTCCCACTCGTTCTCTAAAACAGGACAGTGAAGGCCGCGGAGGAGGCTAGAGTTAGTCCATGGTTTCGGCGGAAAATTGGAAGCTTCAACATCCTTTGTTTTTAGGTAAAAAAGGACGACAAAAAGTGTTTGGTGACGTTCTAGATAGAAAACTAGTCTTTCTAGACCACAAAAACCTCGTTATAAGAAAGTAGCACAATTTGCATCTTTTCAAAGGGTTAGTCCACTAGTCTTAGTCAAAAATTTAAAATTTCTTCATTCTACCTTTTTGGGTAAAAGAGGCCTAAATAGGGTTCTTAGCGATGTTCTAGATAGAAAACTGACCTTTCTAGGCTATAAATTTTTTCAAAGCGCTATTAAATGGTCTGGAGTCAAAAATTTGAAATTTCTTTATTCTTTTTTTTTGGATAAAATAGGCGTAATTAGTTTTTTTAGTGGCTTTTGTAGACTTTAAAAGAATCGATTTTAGATAGTCCTCTTTGGTTTTGGTCAAAAATTGGAAATTTCTTCATCCTTTCATTTTAGGCAAAATAGGCAATCGTATTCGACAAAATTTCTTTTGTAACTTTGTAACTTTATTTGATTTACCACAAAATACAAATAACGATAAAACATGACAGTTACACAAAAGCAAATGAAAGTGGCGAGGAAGCCCAAAAAGAAACCATGAGGCTTATAGACATTGGGCTCCCTCAGAGTAAAAATAAAGTTAACAGTAACGGTAAGGCCAGGATCGAAAGCAAAATACAATGAAGGTAAGTATAAATTAACTAATTACATAGACTGAGTTGACAAAATATAAGGTATGGTACAAGTAACAATAAGTATAAAAATAATATCAGACATGGAAGAAATATAACTATATTTACTACAAGATTTATAACTAATAATTCATATATAATTTTTTTTTCAATTTCGTTTTGAATAAGTGGAGAGAATTAGATTCTTTAATATCATTTTCTATAGTGTTATAATAAGTAGGTCCTTGGAAACTGACAGAAAATTTACGAAGGTTTGTTCTACAAGAAGGAAGGTGAAAATCGTTCGCGTGTCTAGTGGCATAGCTATGGACTTGTTTGTTTAAAGAAAAATAATTCTTGAACTTTGAAGGCAAAAGAGAATGGTTAAGAGAAAACATAAGTTTACCTAATTCTAGCTGTCTAATATCGGAAAGTTTTAGTAGCTCTAATTCTTTGAAAATAGGGTCTGAATGAGAATCGAAAGTTGATTTAGAAATAATTCTGATAACTCGCTTTTGCAAAGAGACAAGACGGCGAAGATTGGTTATGTACGTAGATCCCCAGACAATAATACAATAATGAAGATAAGGATAAACTAAACAATAATAAAGAGTTTTTAGACACGGTTTAGGTAGAAAAAATCTTGCTCTATTAATGACACCTATTGATTTCGAGATTTTACGAGCTACTTGAGAAATGTGCGGTTTCCAAGACAGATGTTCATCAAGGACTACACCGAGGAAGACCGTTTTTCTTGTGGGGTTTCAGGCCCTAGTAATGTGCGTGTTGGGAAAATATGATCGATCGGTAATATTTTTTTCTAAGTTTCCTAGAGGAGGATGAAATGTTCGTCATTGGATATCTTGAGGTGTTCTATATCTTTTTTAAGTACGTAACTGGTAGCGTGATAAAACTGGAAATCACTCAAAAATATTGATGCGGAATTGGTGCGAATTTGCTTTGTGTGAATAAATTGATCAACGTGTTTGATAGCCGAAAATGCATTGAATCTTCAAGTTTGTTTTACAGTTAGAGCTTTGTGTGATAATAGGCTGGATTTTACTTTTAAGACTACGGTTGTTCTCATTTTGTTTCGTTGGAGAGAATAGAATAGTAATTCCCACAAAGAATGGTTGGAAAAATTCGAAACGAATCTGAAAAAAGTTTTATTTGATTTTTTCATAAAAACGTTTGTTAAATATTAGCGATTTTAATAATGATGGTCACGTGACATATCACATGTCTTGTTGTAAAGTACTTTGCAACGGTAGGTGAAGTTCTCCTGCGTGCAAAATTTCCATTCAGTTTTTTTTCCAATCAAAATGACATTAATTTCCTGATTCATCGGTTTCAAGTCGTATGATATTTATGTGTACACAAATCACGGACCTATCAAGCGCTGACCAAAAGGATCGCAGCCTCTGGGAACAAGATTGTAAAGACTCTGTTAGTAGTGCCTTTTGATAGGATTCACCTTTTGTCATAGTGATAATAGTAGTCATTTTTGTTGCTCAAATGAACGGTTTGTTCAGTCACTCTACTTACGGTTTTAATTGAAATGGTCAATAACCCTTTTTAACGAATGGACGAAATCGTGCCGTGGACTAAGCTTTAACTGTCTTGTTCGCTAATAGATCACAGATGCACCTAGCCTGTTTGAGGCGTTCAGACTGAGGCGACAGGGCAAAATGTGAGAAGGAAATGAAAGGTCTCTTTGACTTTGCGCCACATGCCCACATTCTACGATCGGAACCGCTGGAACAGGTCGCCCCATGTAAGGGAATGTGGATTCCGGAATCTGGGACGTTTTTCTAATGGAATCTAGAATCCGGAAACTTTTGCATGTGGAATCCGGAATCTTAGGCTTTGGGATATGGAATAAACATCAGGGAATCCGGGATCCCAATAACGATTACAATCCAGAATCCGAGTTCTACAGACAAAGAATCGGAGTCCAGTACCCGTAATCCAGAATCCCGCAGAGCGTTGAATCCAGGATATCCAAGACTGTCTTGGATTCCCTTAACTTGGGCAGAAAAGGCTAAAAAGCAGCCGGGTTTGATTTAATGTAAGTAGATTGAAGATAAGCCTCTCTAAAAAGCAAAGTTTATTTGCTTTTGTCTTGCGTAAATTAAATCACCCTTGTCACAAACACAAGAGCTATTACCAGCAAGACACTCTTAAAGTTACGGGCACTGTGAAGCGTATTTGAAACTGTCCTAGCAACCAATAATAAATTCTTAGTTTATGAAGTGAATAATAAATTGGCAAAACCTAAGAAATTTTCTCGTTAATTTGAAAATATCCAAGGTGAGCGATCGTTCTCGCGCATTTCATCTTTTCTTTTCCGGCGCTCTTAATCACCTGATTCTAAGGAGAGAAATTCATTCAAGGTAAAATAAGAACTAATCAGGTGCTAGCTATATCAGAGTAACCACAGAAGGATCTTTGGTAATTTTTAAACACTGAATACGAGAGCTTTTATAGACCTAAACCCAAAAACAAACAAACGCCAACTTTAAGGGCAGTTAGAATATGAGTACAAGGAGAAGACCATTTATGGCCATATGAACACGTTAATTTTTGGTCGCTACAGAACAAGACTACTCAATTTTATCCAGAATCCATATTGTGTACAGTTGGTGGACTCTGATAACAGACCTCCTTTCAGATCCTTTCTTTATTGGAGTCCAAGGGAGTAGCGATCTTAGTTGCGGATTGTATTCCGTTTTCCAGACGCTGGATTTAAAATTTGTAAACCATTTAATATTTGATATTCACTTTGGTTTAAATAAGAAAGCAATTTTTAATTCTCTTAAAAAGTGTTTCTGGTTTGAGAAGGTTATGTTAATCACATCAGTTTACTATTCACAGACACTGTTCTCAAAAATCAGTTAAATTACACTCTTGGTACTTTGGCGACGGACGCCCTGATCAAGAATAGCTAGGATTACTATTCCTCTTGTTTAAAATCTATTTCAAAAACCTGATGATTCGTAAAAGCCTTGACCTATCGAGAACAGGTTGTTAAACGAATTCACGCAACTCCGTTTTCACAGACGTCAACAAGGAAGTGTAAGATTGCAATGAGCCCAAGTGTCTTCGTTTTCCACATTTGGATCGTATTTTGCTGTTTTCAAAAATCAGGTCAGTAGTTTCATAAATAAAGTTTAATGTTATTTGAAAGAGAATATATAAAGTTTTTATATATTTGAACGTCAATATATATATAAAACTCCAATGTTGTTGTTGTGCGCCGCATGTATTCCGTATGGCTGAGACATCAGATCAACAGACGATATGATATTCCAATGGTTTATTTTGTCGGATCCTTGAATTTCGATGCGGTTTATTACTTGTTATAAAATAGCTAAGATAGTACGCGCGTTCTGATTGGTTAAAAACCTAGGATTTATTGTGCCGGTAAACGCATAGTTTTACTTAAAGTTATTTAATAAAAGCAATAGACCACACTTTCTTTGGGTTTACCGGCGTGATAACCCACTTGGGATGTTGGTAGAACACTCGAAAAGCTTGTAAATCACTCGCCTTCGGTTCATGATTTACAAGCTTTTTCTTGTGTTCTGCCAATATCCCAAGTGGGTTATCACGCCGGTAAACCCATGGGGAGTGTGGTCTATTGCTTAATTAATACGGTTATTTAAGTTACTGGCTCACTTCCCAATTCCAAGTAAATCATTTCTTGTGGCTTTGAATAATCTTGTTAGACATTTACGGTCGAGAAGCACGCCATGCGATATCTGTGTCATTTTCATGTCTCCCCATTGTTCACTAGATTCCGCTCATCACGATCAGACCCAAACCCATGGCAACAGCTCGAAGCCCCTTGGAAACTTTCCCTTGGAATCCGAGACCAAATTTCTCAAGATTCAAGAGGAACCTAATAATGAGAAAAAAGCCTCGCGTAAACAACTGAAGTTTGATGAGGAAAGCAGCTCCAATATTCAGACCAGGCTAAAAGATATTCTTGGCCGAGTTCCCTGGAATTATCATTCTGGTTCATTTGCTCCTTACGCTAATGGAGTGGGTGGTCTATCCCAAGAAAAGTTACAAGCAATTATGAATCAGTTGACCACTAATATCAGAGTTAACGGACGGAGGGTTTCTCCACTGCAGGCGCAGATAGTACATCAGTCATCCAATGGGGATTTAAACCCAAGCATGCCCGAGCTGAACGACATGCAAAATGACATGATGAGCCAACTTCAGGACTCTATGCAACCCAGTATGCAAGGCAATATGCAGGATGACATGCAAAGCAGTAAGCCAAACGACATGCAAAATGATGACACGGGTGAAACCGAGATTAAACCGATCCAGATACCATGGAATTCAAAGGGTGGCAACAATGCACAGTCTACGAGTCCCTCCACGTTTGAGCGTTTGATGTTTGGTGGCCTTTCTCAAATCGCAGGAGGTGGAGAAGGACAGAATAAAGGTTATTCCGATTTCGGAGGTGGTGTGAGTAACGTTCCTGGATTATCGTTTGGTGGTACACATACGAGTGGAGTCATCAACCTTATGGAGAGTGAAAATGGATTAAAACCCATGACTGGTATGAATGGAATGCGCAGTATGAATGGAATGATGACAGGAATGCATGGTATGACGACGAATGGAATGGGTGATAGAATGTGGGGAGGTCGGTCGTTCTTTTCCAGAAGGGGAGAAACTGTTACAAATAAGACCAACGAGCTTTCAATAAGAAAAAACGCCGACAAAGTCACTCGTGCAAACAAAACACATGAACATGGTTCTGCAAGTGATATCCATCAAGTTCAAAAGTCGCACCACGAGACAAAGCCCAGTGTAATAAGGTTGATACCTAGTGACAAGCTAACCCGAGAAAGGAATAAACTCGACAATAGAATTAAACCAACAGCTACGAACTAGACTCATCGCTGACGAAGGCAAACTCATCAGATTTAAGGGAAATGGAATAAGATGTATTATAACTGAGTGGTTCCTCAGTGTTCTCTTAAGCTTGATAGTCATGAAACTTTGACCTATCGTAGCAGCAAGAAATATAAACGGCTTACTGTAATTGATGTGAAAATTTAATGTACCTTTATCGGTTCTGGTTGTTATGTCTCGATGTTCTGAATTTGTAAATTAAACTCGCTAATTAACACACTTAGATGCATCACCTGTCTATCTACTTATCAGGTCGCTTATAAAAAACGTACAATCAAATCTGCAACTACAAACTGATGCCCAAACGCCCATGTCAAAGAAACCCCCCCCCGGGGGGGGGCACTCCCTTGTATAAACCATATAGGTATGTGCCGCCCCAAAGGGTAGGGTCTTTGTGCCTTGCCGTTTCGGTCTGACAGCGGTATAGATTTTGGTCTTTTTGGTCTGAAATCGGGTGTGGTTTCGAGGAAACTACGGAAGTCAGTGTTAACGTATTTATCGTTTCAACACCAAATGAATCAGAAAGAAACAGTAAGATGCGAATGTCCGATGTCTGACGTCCGATGTCCGATTTCCCCTGTCCGATGTCTGATACAGTGATGTCTGATGTCCGATTTCTGATGTTTCATGTCCGCTATCTGATGTTCGATGTGTGATGTCCGATGTCTGATATCTGATGTCTGACGTCCGATGTCTGATATCAGATGTCTGATGTCTGATGCTGATGTCTGACACGGATGTCTGATGTCTGATGTCGGATGTCTGGTGTCCTATGTCTGATAACCAATGTCTGATGTCTAATGTCTTATTTCCGATACCCGATGTTCGATGTCGGATAGTCTGACGTCTGATGTCTGATGTCCAATGTCTGATGCAGTGATGTTTGATTTCCGATTTTGCTGTCCAATGTTCGATGTCTCATAGTCTAATGTCTCTTGTCGGATGTCCGATGTCTGCGATGTCTGATTTTTTTGTCCGATCTTTTTGTCCGATTTGATGACCGATTTGATGTGCGATTTGTTGTCCGATGTCCGATGACCGGTGTCCTATGTCTGAAACAGATGCCTGATGTCCGATGTCCGATGTCTGATGTCTGATGTCTGATGTCTGATATTTTGTCCGATTTGATGACCGATTTGATGTCCGACTTTTTTTCCGATTTTTTGTCTGATTGGATGTCCAATCTGATGTCAGATTTGATGTCCGGTTTGATGTCCAATCTGATGTCAGATTTGAGGTCCAATTTGATGACCGATTTGATGTCCGATTTGATGTCTGATTTGATGTCAAATTTGATGTCCGACTTTTTGTCTGATTTTTTGTCCGTTTTGATGTCCAATCCGATGTCAGATTTGATGTCCAATTTGATGACCGATTTGATGTCCGATTTGATGTCTGATTTGATGTCCGATTTGATGTCAAATTTGATGTATGATTTGATGGCCGATTTGATGGCCGATTTGATGACCGATTTGATAACCGATTTGATGTGTGATTTGATATCTGATTCGATGTCCGATTTGATGTTTTATTTGATATCTGATTTGATGTCTGATTTGATGTCCGATTTGATGTCAGATTTTTGTTTATTATATCGATTGTAATCTTAGGCCATGATAGATTTTTATTTCTGTAAACGCATTGAGGCATGCAATCAACAATCCATCATCATTATTATTATTATTTTCATATTATTATTATTATTATTATTATTTATCAATAGATTAGGTAGTTTTTTGCCAACTGTATGATTTCTTCTGCTCAAAAAACGAAGCGTAGAAACTGCATTAATGTGTTTTTCTCTTTTTAATCTGGACCCATTTAAACTATAGAGCTAAAATATTTCCACCAGTTTAAAAACTTAAAAACTCCAGTCATATTTGTAAGGATTTTAGAAACTACGGCTTTACTGGAAACTGGCGAAATCATTTTGACCCGAGCAGCTTCCTAGCCTTGCCTGCTGGTAACGCATTGTTGGTGATACTTGCAAAACACCCACGCTTCCTGTAGCTACCTAACTTTCACGCCCATCGATGTGGTTCACTGAACATCTTTCTTTGTTCAACCTGGGGAAGCTCTCTAAAACGCGTTAAATATTAATCGCCAAAAGCAGAATGACGTCATTGTATCAACATTTTCGCTGTCAAAGAAGCAAAACGACGAGAAATTATATTGAAAATGTATGGCTCAAAGATATTTGAAAGATGTCTAAATATTGAGTGTAAACAGATTTAAGCCTGATTCAACATTGAAGTAAGTAATCCTACTGTCCTATTATCGCTTTTAAATTGTGTCCAGTAAAAAGGTCTTTAAACAAATCAGGTTAAATTCAGGAGCGAAGACAAAACAATCGAAGGAGATAATTAGCGTTGAGGGCATCTTTGTTAACTTAATGTTATATTTATGTACAACAAAACGCACAGAGGATGACCGAAGTTAAGAACTTTTTACGCTCAGCAGTAGAGTTTCTGACCTTTGTGCTTCCAAACTGGCCTGTCTTAGGCGTGACTTCTGAAGAGGACCTCGTTAACTACCTGCTATGTGCATTTTCACCTTGGAGGGCACAGAATCAATCAGTTAAATGCAAAACCACAGACTAAAAATTACCCAAAGGCAAATTTCATAACCTTAAACTGTGAACAGTTGAAGTGAAGAGGTTCATTTGAATGGTTACATCACAGGATTTTGTCTATATATTAAAAGCCTGTCGGTAATTTTCGTCATGGCCAAGAAACTAAAAATTCAAGACAAAAGAATTAGGTTGTGCAAAAGCTGGAAACAGCAGAGGAATTTTTCTTACAAAGAGTCAGCCTCTTTACCGATAGTTATATACTCCTATTCAACCATATTGCACTATGAAATTGGTGTTTGGGTGTTTAAAAAAACGGGTAACACGATGATTAACGATGTTTAAAAAGACGGGTAACACGATGGGAAGAATGTTATGTAGTACCAAATATCGTCCGTTTCTCTTAATAGAAGTATAAAATAGGGTAAAGAGAACGAATCTTAAATTTGCAAGATTGGATTTACCAACAGAGAAAACGTTTTTCTGCTTTTTTTCTGAGTTGTGGTGGGAGAGCAGGACGTTTCGCAGTTATATTAGAGTTAATTGATATATTGATTGGATTAATTATATGGTTGCTTTACAGCTGATGTCACAAGATGTCCTTTGTGGTGTTACTTCAGTGAAAGATGGCAGACAAAAGGCACCGACTATATTCAATTCTGCTGTTGTTTGCCGTTGTTAGGGGAACCACGACTACGGGTACGTCAGCTCTTCAAATTTTACTCCTGTGTAGACGCGAGGAAATGAGGTCTGTTCTGAGTCCTTCTTCAGCTTGAAACAACTTTTAGGAAGTGATGTGCGCATTATCCTGTCTTCAGAGCCTTGGGGTGGATTTTCAATCTCGCGTAATTGTTACGTGCTTTAATGAAATGGAAGCAATGTATGAAAGGCCGCGCGACCTTCCATATACTGTACTGCCTTCTATACATTGCCTCTATTTTATTACACAGCAGTAGAAATGAACTGTTCGATGAACGTGTGAACTGATGCAATGTTGATTTTTGCAGTGTTCCTGGTACAATGCATAAGCGGTTTAAATATAACGGGAGGTTTAAATATGACAGGCTATGTCCTCTAAGCCCCCCCGTTCTAGGCCCAGGCATTTTTTGTGCAAGGCACTGTACTCTAAAAGTGAGTTAAAGAGAAATCTTGCCTCTGTTCCCGATGAGGTCTATGACTACATTTTATTCGTCAACATTCAGGCAAGTCCGAAAAGTTGCATCATGGAAAAATCCAAGCTGCTAGAATTTCGATTGAGTTCGAGAATTGTTTCACCTTTTCATTTACGTCGGATGAAATATCACGAATATTTATTTTTAGTCATCAAATCGTCATAATGCCACTGAAAAATTCTAACTGTCGTGAGCAAGTTGTTGGATGCCGGTAAATCAGTGAGACTTTTTCACACTGAGGCTTTTATTTAAAGGTTTGAACTGTCCGAGACTGCACCTTCTTTCTTACTAATTACAAGATCCTCAGTGGAGTGTGGCAAGGCTAGAGATAAAAAAAATTAAAGAATCAAACACATGCTATTTCGATCTGAGGAATTGAAATACTTTTCACTAGGATGCAGTCTCCTTCAATTAATGAGGGTTGACTAAAACTCTTTAAAGAGAGGCCTTAATCACAATTCATTTATGTTCATTGCAGTTCAAAGAGAAAATTCCACCAATGAGTTTGCACGGCAGTTTATTGTTCCACCAAGAATTCAGCAAATGGCATTGGCAGACAGAATGTTAGGGAATAATCCTTCTATGATGGCCTTCCGTGGACTTCCAGGTGCAACTACCGAGGTCACTGCACAACAAGTTGAAGACCAAATAAACCAGTTGAACCGGCTCAGTCAGCAGCTTCGTGCTTTACCTCAGTCTCCTTCAGCCTTCGAACAATTAGCTAAGGAACAGCAGAATCCTGTCTCTGGATATGTTCAACAGGCAAGCAGACTGACTCCTGAGACTGGATTTGGAAGACCACTTGGAGCAGTTCCAGGATACGTAAAAAGTATTGCTGGAAACCCATTAACAGGACCCAATGGTCTTACAAAAGAGGTTTTAGCAGACTTGATGTTTGGGAATCTTAAAAGTTTGGCCTCAACAGGTGGTCTGGCAAATTTCAATAATCCAGTGGAAGAGAACGAACTTCCCCCCCAAACACTTGGAACTTCAGAACTGAGTGCATTCAACAATCCTTTAATTGAAGAAAAGCTCAGACAATCACCACTGGGAAAGCCTGGGATTGGATTTCCACTTCCGCCAAATGAAAATGTGGACTTTAACGATCTTCCTAACGATGATTTGGACACTTTGAAAGATTTATCCAACATCCACGCAAGACACAACACTAAAAGTGGGAGGAAGAAGAAACCAGTTAAATCAGATGTGGTTACAAAGCTTCTGTTGAGTTTACTGGTTGACAAGTTGAAAGACATATACGAAATGGACAAATTCAATACCACCCAGAACAAATCCTTAAAAACGAAAGTGGATTCTTCGACGATAGGAAAGATTGGAAATGCTTTAAAGGAGCGTAGTCAACCGAAGAGCAGAAAGAATCCGACTGACAAAGCTGGTGAAAGTAACATCAAGGTGATACAAAATTTTGACAGTAACCTTTCCTTTCCTCTGACGATTTCGGATCAGAAAGGGTCCAAGGTGTCACTCATTGACTCTCCACAAAATGGTGGTAAAGATGACAGTTCCGCAATCAATGTTGACACCAAAAACATCGAGAATATAATAAAAGGCATCGAAAATGGCAACATGGAGCCCAAGGAAAACATTTCTACCCATAGAACTGGAAATGGTGTTGACTCTGGAAACAGCCCACAAGAAATTTCGGAGAAGACGACAAAGACTTTGGATGACGCCAGTCTTTTTAACAAAGGATCAAGTTCTGAGTTTCACCAAGTGAAAATAGAACCCGATCGTGATGGTGTTTTAGGAAAGAGCAGAACTATTCCCACAATTTCAAACTATCATCCAACCGTAGATACAACATCAACAGATCCAAACCCAGGAACATTCGATGTTCAAACCGACAAAGCCACAGTGTCAACGCTACCCACGTTTTCTATCTCTTCTATACTAAACCAAGAAATCCCGGGAAGCGTCAAAGGAAGTAACCGCGTTTTAGATAATAATGCCTTAAAGGACGTCAAGGCTGAATCTATTGGTTTGGGGGGTTCTCCATCCACACAGGAACCTGTTTCCTCAAAGGCGGCTGGAGAAAGCGACACTGTCGATTATTTGCAAGCTTCCAGAGTTCTCGGAGCTGTGTTCAACAAAGTGAGGGACCCACTTGCTAGAAAGAGCGTTGAAGTTGCTATAAAGGCCATGTTGAAGCTGATGAAGTCGGACAGTGCTTATTCCAAAAAGCAAACCGTTCCATCAGTGCAGGAGCCGTGGGTAAATCATGAAAAAATGGGAAGACTAATGAGAACAATCCACCAGCTCTCTAAGGCAGTAGACGAGGAAGCGCAGGTAGCTTCAAGTAAAAAAAGGCGTCAATGGCGATCGAAGCACAAAATTCTTAAGAAATGGATTTCACATAAACACTCACATCATCGCCATAAATCAGGTCTCATACAGCATCATAAACATAAATATTGAGATATGGTTGATGGTAAGACAGTTTCTTCAACAGCGACTGGAGAAAGTGACACTGTCGATTAACTGCAAGCTTCCAAAGTTCTCGGAGCTGGTTCAACAAGGTGAGGATCCACTTTCCATAAAGAGCGTTGAAGCTGCTATAAAGGCTATGTTGAAGTTGACGAAGTCGGACAGCGCTTATTCAAAACAGTTTCAGCAGTGGAGAAACCATGGGTAAATCATGAAAAGTGTGAAGGCTAATGAGAAGAACAATAATGAGAACAACAACTTGAGTCAGCATTCCATGTCACCTTTCGGATTGCCTCTAGAGAATGATAATAATAAAAAGCATATCATAAAAATTAATTAAATCATAATTGTCAGGCGCCCTAGCAAAATAAAATTTAAGCTTCCCGCTTTGTAAAAACAACCCTAATGATTTGGTAATTAAAAAACAGGAGTATTGCTAATAAAAATGTTTAATTGCTGTATGGCCATTGTGAGGAAAGCCCTTTTGCCTTGTAAGTATTGACTCTAGAATTCTTCTCACTTTGCTTGTCATGCTTATATCAATGTTTAAGTTGGCTGATTGCCGACTACAAAGTTTCTTGTAGTTCTCTTCTTGCCTGTTTGCGTGTTTGGCGATGCGTATATGTAAACTCTCAGGAAAAGCAGAAGGTCGTAAAACCCTTACTGAGATTCCCTGTTTGTTCTTGGTTATTTCTATTCGCTGGTTTGAAAGCCCAAAATGAAAACCGTAATGCACACACATTGGTCGCCAACTACATGGGCTGTGACCATTGTAGAATATAGAATATAGAATATTTATACGAGTAATAACCCAAGGTTAGGGAATGCGTGCGAGATCGATGAAAACGCATTTGCAGTACTTCTAGAAGAAGTGATTGCCTGTCTTGAGTGATAGAACGTCCAAACGCGTTTGATCAGTTTGTGTTCTGTGCGTTTTATTCATTCTTAGTGGAAGTCCAAACGAATTCTAGCTACATACGAGCTGGGCATGTGTACCAGCAACCTGGAGATTAGGATTACGGGCTATTCTAGTCAACTGCAATTGTCCCCACTGCCGTTTTATATTTAAATGATTTAATTACTACTACAGTGCAATAATTTGGAAAACTGCTACCTTCGCTCCTGGATGTGGCCAACGAAAAAGGGCAAGAAATATACCTCATTTCATGTGAGAAATTACCATTAGGAGTAGGATGTGCGAAATGGTCCACTGGTGACCCTTGAGCCCTTAAAACTGGCTGTTTATGAGGGTGACGGACCCTTCTGTAATCTACATGGAAGTCACAGCTACAGTTACAGTAAAAACAGTTGTTCTCTAGGGGATGGGTGTTTACCTTATTGGTCAATTCCTGGATGTGGCATGTCGACTTGACTGATCAGCTGTCAGCTAAGAAGTGATGTTATTGGCTGTCTTGAGACTCGAAAACGAGATTCTAGGTGGTACGTTTTGAAACACCTTTTACTCCGGTCTCTTGTTGATGACAATGAAGCATACAAATGGCAGCAGGTTGTTAAATGACACGTTCATTTATTAATTTACGGTGCACTGACGCTCGATTCATCTCTAAATCTAAAAAATAATATGAAAGAAATGATGTGGCTTCTATTTCAAATCCTGTCACGTTGTGCTACTTTGTAGTAACCATAAAGAAACTGTGGCACCTTTGACATAAAAAAAAGGTCGCCAAACCAAATTCTGTTTCTACGGCAGTTTGGAGCATGAAAACGTAATTTAATAAGAGATTTTAGAAACTGCTGTATTTTAAGTGCTATATATTTGGATCTATATTGCTGTTAGATAAAACCAATAGCGTATGATGAAGCCAGACAACCCATGCATAAAGAATGTCGTTTTTCTTACATCATTTAAACGAAAGCAATTGCCACCAATTTCGTGGGCAGCAAGTACGTTCGGAGCAAAAAAACATGGCGATAAAGTGATATTTTTCAGCGACGAAAATTTTCTTTACATCGAAATGATATAGCGAACATGTAGCTGTGTATCGTTCAATCCTTTTGGGTCCAATGATTCATGGAAGTTGTATTTTCAATGAATTGCAGGTAAGCCTTGATTCATAGACGATTCTTGTTACACTAAGATAATGGAAAGTGAATGAGTGGAATAAAAACTAATTTGATCATTATAAACCATTAAATTCCCCTCTTAAAAAAAAACTATAAATTTGTTTAGATGTAATCAGTCACTCTATAGTTTTGTATCTTAGGTAGTCTTACATAAGTTTTGAATGTTTCATTGACTTATTATAGCATTTAATTTGCGATTTTGGTGACCCTTTTTTGTTATTCTATCTATACAAGTGCCTTAGTTATCCTGCACAGTTAACCTCTTTTAAGTAAACATCGATATAGCTTAGATGCTCCTTTGATTTTCTGAGTTGAGAGGCGGGAGCAAATTCGAAGGAGGGCACTTATTTCGCTTTTAGAATTTTGACCTGAAAATAACATCTTTTTTTTATCCACAGTGTGTACAAACAGCAAGCTAGATCGTATCCGTCGTATCCGTAAAAAAAACTGTGTGTAGTCACTTTAAAAGCCCTGTTTCCTTAACTTTTTCCCTTACGACCATACTCTATTACAATGATTTTAGAATCCACCGAATCAGTGGATAGCAATTTTCGCGCGTTTCGATTGGCTACCGTAACTCGGAATGTCCTTGCCTATAGGCCATTTGCGAGTTCCAAAAACCCTCACTTTCAAAACGAGGCTAAAGTGGCAACTGAGCAATGGCCTATAGATGGTTTTCACAGTGACGTCATCAAATTGTAATGTCAAAATAGCGAGGTTTTACGAATTCTTATTTACACTAGGTTGAAGATAAACAAAAAGTATCTTTGTACAAGTTTTCAGTCCCATAGCATGTTTCATTTCGAAAATACAGCCATTTGAACTTCCGAGTTTTCACAGTGCGTGACACCAGAATAGGAATGCTGTCTCGTTGAAAAAAAGTCTCTCCTCTTGATTTTCAGCAGTATAACCATTTCAAGCATTAGAAGATATGTTTATGCGCACGTAGACTAGTTCTCGAGTGAAAAGAAGGAGCTTTTATGGAACAAGTGAACTCCAGATGTTTTTGTTGATTTTCGGCGGCCATATTGGTGCACCAAAACTGTGCACCATGGCCAAAAAGACCTGAGACTCGGACAAATTGTTTAAATATTAGTCTTTTATAACATATCATTTTCTTGGCTTCTTTCACTGGACGGTTTTCAATTTATTTTTTTGTTGCGTGACAGTGAAAACGATCTATTCCCCCTCGGGAAAATATAAAATCGCATAGCCGCAGCCCAAAGCAAATGAGTCACCTAAAAAGCCGGGTTGTATAACTTAACTTTACCTATTTCACTAACTTTCATTACCTTTCTTTTATTGGTTTGCAGTAATTTACAATAATGAAGTTATTGTTGTCATCGTTTGTCTTCATTTCGAGCTATATCCTGCTTTCTTATGGTAAGGGCTTTCACCACATTTGACTTTTAAAAAGTTTATACTTTGTGTCGTAAACGAATGTAGTTGTATGTATACCATGTTTAAACATCTTTTTCCGTGTACTCACATAAACACTTCTATGTTCATACAGGAATTCCGAAACAAAGAGACGAAGGTCGCAGCAAATCAAGTAATCTGACTCACTTTTTTCAAGAAATCGACAGCAACATATCTTTACCAGAAAATAACAACAAGACAAAAGACAAAGAGAATAAAGTAGACTTGACCAAAAGCTCTGCCGCGGATAAACATGAAAAAAGGTTGAATGAGACCGATGGAACTACTAAGACTCTTATAGCAAAGCATAAAACAAATCCCTCGAATACTTCTCATGATCAAAAGGCACAAAGAGTTGCGATTCACAAACTTCTGTGCGACCTCCTCAACAAGACAAAGGGCAACCAAACCTGTAAAGATAGGAACTTTTCAAAGAAAGCTATGATATGGCCAACAAAAATGTTACCCTGGTTAAAAAACGTTCTGATGAGCAAACTACAACGTGGAAGTAATAATCATATGTCCTTTTTGGATAACATGGAAGACCCGACAGGATCACCTTTTGGAAGCAATTCAGTAAACAGCATCTCTGACAACTGGGATGAGAATCCCTTTTTAATGCATAGAAAACATCGACATGGACTTAAAATGATTCCACTGTTAAAAAATTTGAAGGCAACACTTTTTGGACAAGCGCCGACTTCCAATGTTGGAAGTCTTAATGATGCGTTAAATAGCGAGACACTGAATGGATTTGGACCAATACCAACGCAGGGAAGCTCGCCTCTTGTTCATCAAATATTAAAACAAGCTTTGGGAAGTTCCGACAGGAATTCGGTTTTAAATGAAATGAGGCAGGAGCTCCTTCTGGCAAGCGACCGTGGAGAGGGAGAAACCAACGAGGTATTTGATGGCGTAAATGGAAGAAACAATCTTGCTCAACTAAACGCTGGTGTTCAAGGAGATCCCGTGATGTCTCCACCTACTCAAGGTGTTGCACCATTTGCTGGCATGAACATGTTACAAAGTAATACGAGGACTTCAATGATGGAGCAAAATGTTCGTCAAGAACCTTTAATGGAACAGCCGATTCATGCCCAAATGCTAGATAATGGCGTCATAGCGCCGATGGGGAGACAGCCTCTTGCTGGCTCATCTTTAAAGGATGCGTCCTTTTTAAGTAATTCCCCTGTTGGTGGGTCTTCACTTTTTAGACGCCCTTTTCGAACGTCGTCCTTAGCTGCATCCTCATTAATTGCTCCAACATCGAGACGTTCTCCACTGCAAAGCTCCTTCCTCGAAACAGCATCACGAGAAGGCTCCCTTCTTGAAAAAGCTGGCGGATTTGACATGCCTGCGACACCATCAATGCTTGGACGAACGTCAGCTCTAAAAGAAAGGATATTTTCTGACAGTGCACAGGAGATGCCAGATTTTACAAGTCGGCAAGAAAACTTCATAGAGCGTAACGAGCCTCTGGAGAGACATCAGAACCCAAATCCACGTCCTCTACCTCGACTTCTTGGCAACAACTTGGTCATGGAGGAAATCAGTGACTCCATGGCTCGCGGCAGAAATCTCCCCGTGCAAGCTAATCCTGATTTCGAGCGTCTGATGAAACTACGTTCCCGACTCCGGTCAAGAAATCCCACTAGTTCACGGATGTCTGGCCTTGAACTTGGTAGTAATTATGGTGATACACTTCGTTTATCACCAAGCTCTAATTCATTAGGAATCGCCTCTGTTGTGGCCAAAGATGAAGATTCCATAAACTTTAACGACCTAAACTCTGAGCGTTCTTTAGCATTTAGAAGAGGGAAAGTCTCAAAGATAACAGGCAATTCTCGTGCCTATACAAAGAACAAAAGCAGCCAACAAAATCATAAAAAAGATAACACCAAGACCAAAAAGAGTTGACTTAAGAAGTTTCAGATTTCGAGAGGATTTGCAGGATAATGCATAAAGTATAGTTATCCTTGATCTACCTGTAAATTGTGCCAGCTTCTCATTCTTATTCATTAGTAAACTGTCTGGGACAGTGAATAAAGCAGTGTTTTGATTTAACCGGAGGAATTCTTGTCTTATTGAAAAAAAAAAAGAGTAATAAACAAGAAGACTCAAATGTTAGGAAAGCCAAATATACCCCCAGAATCTGCGGCATGAAAAAAAAAAATGCGGCAAATAAAAAGCGTGCAATTTGGCTTGGACATTTTTGCAACTTTTGTCTAGCCTGTGTTTGAATTTGGTGCCTTGTTTTCGAAAGTAATGTGTTAATAAGGAGATAAGTAAAAGCAAACAGAACATACAGACTAAGATCAACAAGAGATATTTTAAAGCAAAACTTCTCGGAATTACGACAAGGCTTTGCGCTTTGCGATAGGCGGGGGTAGCTCAGACGCCACTTGAATTCAAAACCATTTTACCGAATTAAGCTCCCCAATTGTTCCATGAATTTTATGTCGTGAAAGAGTAATAACTTGGTGTAAGTACAAATTTGGTTGCATGTTTTAGTAATTCTCCCACTTTGACCGAAAATCAGTTTAAATTAAAGCCATTCAGATTTACTGATCAACCAGTGATTGTAATCCTCTATCACCTCTGGTAACAAAAGGCTAACTATTTTCCCAGTGTAAGAAAAGTTACCGTTACCCTCATTTTGCTTCTCACGGTTTTATAATGTTGGAGCCGGACAATAGGCCCTTTGCAGCTAGCCATTCAGGTGGTACAAAACCGCCCTGCTGGAGTGCAAAAGTCGCACTTGGACAAGGCAAAAAAGGCATACGTAATTTTAAATGGTAATTTCCTGTGTTTGTCTTGTCCCAGTGCCACTTTTGCTCTCCAGCGTGTCAATTATGTACCCCCTGAATGGCTAGCTGCAAAGGTCCTCTTCTATAATGAAGGGGGCGGGCAACTGAGGTACTGGAAGGCCAAAATACTCTAAAGATAAGCGAATGCCTAACAGGAAATGAATGCACCTTACTGATCTTCCAGGCCCCTGGAATTTCTTTTCGTGTGCAATACTTCACATAATAACACACATCAAGTTCCGCTTTCTATCAATGACCTATAACTTCAACGTTCAAATGAAACAGCTAACTTAGTGATCAAGCTGTGCATGGTACGTAATCAACACACCTTCAAACCACAAGCGATTTGAAACTAGCTGAATTTGGCAAACGGTATCCTGCTTGTCCAGACAGCAACTTTTCCAATATTCTACAGATATTTAGTCTCTTCACCTAAAGGGAATAACCAGGAAGAACCAGGGTGGGTGAGATGCAGAGGTGCGGCCCGGGCCCCTGTTTAAGATAAAAATCGCTGATTTTCCTTCCCTGTTTAACACAGAATTCCCGATTTTTGATACCTTGTTTAAGACATTTAACCCGAAACCATACCCTGTGTAAGACAATAATAAATATCGAAACTCTTTCTTATTTAATCCATTGGCAATCACAAAACTATTTTACAGCTTGATCAACATAGTAACGAGGAGCTTGTAAATATTTTGCTGTAGTTTAGTTCGTAGAACATACGCGCAGATACCATGTTTAAGACAAAAATTGATAAAATCGATACACTGATTAAGACAAAAAGTGATAAAATCGATACCCTGTTTAAGACAAAAATCTAGAAAAACATACCCTGGCTGGCCGTACGTCCCCATTAAGCCCTTATAAGGGAGTACCCCCTCCCCTGGGGACAGATCCCGCTCGAAAATATTCTGCAAGGTATCGATCGGAATCCAGAAGCCTTTCTGAACGACTACTAGCTCAAACAATTATCGCGCCTCCTTGCACTCTGAAACACAAAATCCACCATTCATTCCGACTATCTTTTCATGTTTCTGCTTCTTAACACGTTGTCAGCAAGGGTACGAGGCCGTCTCTCTGATAAACTTCCATTAGCAGTACAAAAGCAGCAGCTTGTCCCCCACTTTTTTTCCTCTTTCACGAGCCAAAAAATATCAAAAAATGAATTCCTATTTAAACCGTATTTCCCTTTTTCATTAAAATCTGCCATCGTTTTCTAACTCACTGCGGTCAGCACCTCGGTGGTAATTTCTACTGGCTTTTGGTGAATATTGTGTTAAGAAGGCAGTAGTGTCTTTTCTACTTTAGTGATTTTCTAACCCTCTCACTCCCGAAAATGGCTTAAGTAAAAACTCGACAAAATCTCCAAATTTAAATTTGTAAAATGTTGAAAACCAAATAACATCATGTGAAAGTACTGCTGATAAAAGAGGTTTTTTGAATGATCACTGATCTGAGCCATGGACTTATTTAAACTTTTGAATCACCTTTACCAGACTCCACCATTCACGCTGGAAGTAAAAGACTGGTGTTTATAACAAACCAGAACTAATTAAAGCAAATGAGATACCCTCCATCGATCCTCTTGAAAAGCGACTAACCCACAACGGAACACCAGTCATTTGTCTCGCTGGCCGGACGTCACTGATCCTCTAAGTGAATAAATATTTATCACTTTACTGTTTAGATCATGGAAATAGAATGCGGCTCAGAAGGAACAAAGTTTGGCTATACTTTTTGGTAAATTTCTGGCTCCGTTAAGGAAAATTTAACCTAAGATTTAATATATGGCTTCGAAATGAGGTAAGTGGTCTCCAGGCTTTTAGCAGCTAATTTTACTTGCTCCGAGGCAAGATTATTGCTTTTGTGAAGCCACTTAACTTCTGAAATCTTGTTGTTGCTAATTTCTTCAACAAACTGCCAATCAATTACGTTGTTATGACAGACTTGCTTTCTACATTAAAGTTTGGCTTTGTTGTGGTTTAGCCTTTAAATCGTGTGCCAATTGTTCTAGAGGGTGTAAAATAACAATGTAACACAAGTTTTAATTAGTTCTTGATGCAGGTGCTGGCGATAACTTTCGATGAAGTTTTATTCGCATTAAAATGCTCTCTCTCTTTTAATAGTTTGATCCTGCACTCGTACGGAGTTAGTATTTACTTCCATTGTTAACTTTAAGATTTCTTGGAACTGTTTTATTGTTATAGAGTGGTATACAGCCTTGTGTTTGGTCTGCTTGTCGTCTTGTTATTGAAGGAATCCCTGTCAACCTTAGCAGGTAAAAAATCACTTTTCTGTGTCTCACAGCTAATTTATTGTGTCTCTTATGGACACTGGAGAAGCCAAACTCCACTGGATTAAGGAAAAGAACATTATATTACAAGATAATCGAATCTGTTATTAGAATTATTCCCCTATAGTATAGTAAAATACTGTTAAATCGTTAACTTGCTTTCTCTTAAATCTCTAAAACTGATTTGCACAACAACTGAGTTACGTATCCATTACACTGTCAAACATTGTAATTTTAAAAACGATAAAGATTTTTTTAAAATTCTTTCTGTTAATTCGAAACCAATTTTCCTTTCCCTTGGATAATCTAGAAACTACGACTCCATTGTCAGTTTGGTTTTTAAATAAATAATTATGGCATTTTATGATAGTCGACAGGGACAACAGCACATTAAAATGTTGTCTAAAAGAGTACTGAACGGACGACTCGGTATCTCTGGATTCAGCCACCTGAATTGCGATGTTGATTATTTTACTATATCGATTGAAATTCACAATTTTATCGAATTATCTCTACTTTGCCCGAATTACTTTAGGTTTAGTACTATTAAGAGTTACTAGAGGTTGTATGCCTTGGTTGTTAACGAAGCGAAGAGAGAAAGGCGGGGAAAATTTTAATAACTGTTGTTCTTGTAAATTTTTTTTTCATGTAATGACAGACTTGCACACACGTCATAAACATGATGCGAATGAATGGAGAGTTGTACCTCGAGACACTGAAGCTCGTCTCCAGAAAAACGCCAAGTTTGCGAAAGCATTGCTAAGCAGGAGGCTGATGAGAAACGAAAAAGCGAGGAAACATTCCAACCTCACAGTTGAGAAAGGAGTAGTTGCAGAAATGAATGAAAGTTCTCCAGATCGTCTCACAAACAAAACCCAAAAAATGGTCGAAGACGTAACGGGAACTGAACTGAAAGATTCTCAATTACAATCACAGATGCGAGATAAAAACGGAATCTTAGGTGTCTCAGATGAAGAAGATAGCGCTAAATGGGCAGCTTCGCAAATAAAAATGATACCAGCTAAGTTAAACCGCAACGAGAAAGAATCCAAAGCAGTCCAGGGAAACAAAAGTATCGAAAATGGTATAGGCTTAAAAAATGATCCGAGGCTAAGTTCGCTGCAACATATCGCGCAAATTCCTCAGAGTATTGAAACATCTAAGATGGTAGCAGCTCCGGATTTCGAAAATTTGAAGCCTTCCAACGACAGTAAAATACCTGGGGCAAATGCAACGAAATCAATGATCAACCCCCATGATGGTGATATTAACACGGTACTGGAGCCTTATTTTTCACAAGGAATAAAAGAAAACGCTGGCAATAGCACTAATTTCAACTTAGCAGTAGATCAAGTAAATTCTTCAGCTGTACAATACGATGCCTCAAACAGCAATGTAGCTGGCAGTATGGAGAAAATGACAAATGAAACTGCATCCAATCTTGCAGGACTCTCGTTACAGACAAATCACTCAAGCATGGATTTGCTTCCGTTGAAGAATACTACAGCAACCAACCAAGATGACGAAGAAAAGGCACCTTCGCTTTCAATCAATATCACAACTTTAAGGAAAGGGCAATCTTTTGACTTGCAGATGCCGAGTTTGAAAACAGCAGAAGGAACTATTCAGGATAATCACCTCCACATTGCGCCACAAATGTCGTTTTCATCTGAATACGTTTCGGACAGTTTACAAAACTATTCCGGTCACTTGCTCAACGATATCTATAATACTGTCACTGATGCTGAGAAGAAAAACGAAAACGGTTTGCAAAAATTAAATTTAGATAGTGTGTCAAGAAAGGTGGAGCCTCT